GGTGCATAACCCGGAACAGCGCCTGGTGCAGAGGGGCTGGCACAGGAAGATCCGGAAGTACGGAAAGCGGTACTAAGAAGGAGGAGGAGGAAGCACCCTGTGCTCTGCTGTGGCTCAGGTCTGACCCCTCTTACTGACACTGTCTATTCACGCATGCACGGGCAGAACAGGGGCCGGGCAGCGCCTGCAGGGAGCGCCCGGTGGAGGCCGCCCCGGCGGGCCGCAGCTGCACCTGGTTACCCGGGGCCCGTGGCCATCTCTCTTTATTCCATGTGACTGTCGTTTTAGGGTTTTTTTTGTGCCAGAGGGCACGTGCACTCACCAGAGAGCGACAGAGAGAGGAAAAGCGAGAAATCACTCCCAGGGAGGGATGGCCACGCCACAACCCTTCTCCTCCGTTCTCCTCCTGAGGTGCTGGGCGCACACGCACAACGTGCCTAGCCTAATTCTCAAGCTGCCAGGTCTAGGATTCGAACCACGGTCAGCCATGCGGTGTCCACACCGCCTGCCGGCGTTTACCTGTTACTCTTTCCAAAGTGGACCAATTCCATGTTGCAGCTTCCTGTTCTCCTTTTCCCTCCTCTTCTTTTCTCTTACCTCTTTCTGACCCTCTTTTCTCATTCTTTCTTGGCTGACGGTGTTGGGTGGAGATTCGGTTAGGTTATCAACTACACAGTCTTTGAAGCATAAATTAATTTTCGTGAGGTCTCTTGGTATATATTTTCTTCACTACATTTATATGAAAATTAGTACCTACTATATAAGTAACATATTATTCATAGGATATATACTACAGTGCTGTATATATAACTTAATATATAATGCTGGTAGCATCTATTTTATAAAATATAGAAGATAATTATATTGGGTGTAAGGAGACACCAAATAATTCATGGAGAATTCAAATTAAAGGGTTGGACCCGTAGTCTAGTGGTTAAGGGACGCCAGAGCCCACATGGCTACCTGTGGTTTGAGTCCTGGCCCGAGTGATTTGAAAAACATGCCAGACACATGTGAGTATAAGACCCTAACAGAGTGGAGGAGCGGAGAAGGGCCAGCTCTGTGCCCATGCCCCGTGGGGTGCGCTTGCTGTTTCTTTCTCTCCTCTCTCTCTCTCTGGTGGGTGCATGCACCCTCTGGCAATTAAAAAAGAAAAAAAAAGTGAAAAAGAAAATAAGGATTAAAGTATTAGGGTTATTTTTGGTGCAAAAAAATCGAAATCCATGTATAGCTGGTTTTTTTGAAAGATTATTTTTATTTAACTTTATCTATCCATTTACTTGTTCATTTTTTAATCTGGCCAGAGGGGGACAGAATGAGAGAGAGAGGAAAAGTGAAAAAGCAAGCCTCCAGGTCTGGGACTCGAACTGTGGTCAGCCATGTGGGAGTCCAGTGCCCTTACGACCATGCCACCTGCCAGCCCCAATAGCTTTTTTCACATTTTTCACCAACTTTTTGACGGCCTCATGTGGTCTCATCAGGCATGTCATACTAAGCGCTGGAGACGGGAAGTGTTCCTCTCACAAGACCGGGGTAGGACCCGCGACTGCCTTCACTTCCCACAGGAGGAAACTGAGGCGCAGAGACGGCCGTCACTTGTCGATGTGCGCTCGCTCAGCCACGGGGGAGGCCACGGGAGGAGCCTTGGAGGCTGCAGCAGCGGGACAAGGAGGCCCAGAGGCCGGCGTGGAGGGGTGTGTGTGCACCCGGCGGGCCTGGGGCCTCCCTGCCCACACCTGTGTGCTGAGGTCACTCCGGGTGACCCCGCAGAGTGCTGTTGCTAAATGGGGAGGTGCAAAGCTCCCGGGATCATCCTGCAGCGTGGGGGAGGGCGGGAAGGGCTGCGGCCCGAGCGTCCCTCTCCCCCAGGGCCCAGGTGGCTGTCTGTCCAGCCTGACCTTTCGGCCCTAGTGCAGCAGCTGCTTCCGCAGTCCCTGCAGCCCTGTGCAAGCTCGCTGACCCTGTCCCTGCAGAGGGACTCGCTCGAGCTGGCCCCCTGAGGACTGTCACCGAGCCAGAGCGCCCCTGCGATCCGCAGCCCCTCTCGGAAGCCTGGCCCCTCGCTGCAGCGTGTCCGGCCCCGGGCTTTGCTCGTCATGCCTCGGTTTCCCTTTCAGTACAGTGGAAGCCGTCACTTTCTGGGGCTTGCTGGGGGACGCCAGAGCCTCAGAGGAATAAACTGCGAGGGGACAGTCCAGGCCAGGGCCGCGCGAGCACCGAGCGAGCAGCCGTCGATTGTTTCAGACTTCGGAGCAGGTTACGTGCGCGTGGCAAAATCTAAACGGTGCAGAAGGCACTGTGGCAGACAGTCGGCCACGACTAGACACTGGGCGCTAACTGCACAGAACAGTAAGGGCTTCGGGAGGGAATCGGCAGGAGCGAGTGGCGCTGGGACGCCTTTGTGCCCGGAGCCACGGTGGCTCTGCAGGCGGCCGCGAGCTTTCCTCCTGTTACAGGCGCGTGCACGGCCCGAGTCCGGGCACATTTCCTGCGATTCCCTTTTCACGAGGGCAAACTTCAAGGGTAAGCACGTGGCTCCTCTTGGCTGTGTTGCCCTGGCACCCCACTCCGCACACCACTTCAGGCCCCCTGTTTTCTCGTTCGCTACAGGGCGTGTGTGCTCATTGGAGAGAGGAAGAGGGAAAGCGAGTAGGCCCCCCAGGGGACAGCCACAGTGCAACCCCTCTCCGTTCTCCCCGGGGAATTTTGGCACACGTGCACACATAGTGTTTCTCAAGCTGCCAGGTCTGGGACTCGAACTGCACAGTGGGCCGTATGCGATTGAGCCATCTTCACCACCAGCCAACAGCTGTCCCCACACGTGCTTTTATTTTCAATGTTTCGTTGATTTTCGCCATGATACAGAGAGACAGGGACAGCAGTCCCAGCAGGGGCAGGCGTCACGCCACGCGGCCCAGACTGCCCTGCGCCTGCCCACAGACTCAGGAGGCCCCTGGGTGAGACCCAGAGCCCCCCGCTCCCCACGTGGGCCAGGGCATTGCACTGATGCGCCGCCCTCCGGCCCCCGGGGAACTTCACGGCAAATGCCAGGCTGCCTATCGTGGATAATTCACGTCGAGATCAGCAGATGGCATACCGGTTACATCGCTGGACTCCCACGTACTCAACTGCGGTTTGAGTCCCCAACCCGGTGACTTAAAACTCACACAAGGCATGTGTGTGTGCCTGCCCAAAACCCTGAGAGGAGAATGGAGGAGTAGGGACTGCGCATGGCCACCTGCCCTGGGGGGTGATTTCTTACTTTCCGCCTCTCTGTCTCTCCGGTGAGCACACGTAGCAAAAATAGCAAAAATCTAAAAAAAAAAAAAAAAAATCACACCTCATGGAAAAAGCCATCAAGTGGCTGATGGCCTGTGGGAGGCGTGGCCAGGAAGGGCGCTCCCCACGCCCCCCACGCCACCGAGCCTCGGGATTTCTTCCTCAAACCCAGAGAAGCCGAAGAGCCCGGAGTGCAGCCTCTGCCCTCGAGCCCCGTCCAGGCCCCCGGGGCAGCACTGGGGCCAGTGCCTGCAGATCCGCCCAGAGCCTGTGAGTCGCTGTCGCCGCGTCTTTATTAATAGCAGCCGTGTAGTCGCAGTGGAAATGCGAGCGCGTTGGCCACCAGGCGTGAGTCACCGCGACCTGGCCCTGTGCCCACGCTCCTGTGACCTTGCGTGAAGCACTCGCCTCTCAGAACCTCAGTTTCCTGCTCTGGAAACTGGGGACAAACCCTGATCACTAGAGCAGCTGGGAGAGCTCCCCATAGAGCCAGGCTGGGGCGGGTGCCAGGGCGGACGCAGAGCTCCTTCCTGGTACCTCTCCAGACAGACAGGCGAGTCCTGGGCAGGAAGGCGGGCCTGGGCCTCAGGGCGGGGAGGAGGGCTCTGGGGGACCAGCAGGTGGCATAGTGGTTACGCTGCTGGATTCCCAGGCAGTCACCCGCGATTCCAGTGCCGACCTGGTGGCTTAAACTCACACCAGGCGCGTGTGCGTGCATGCCCAAGATCCCGGGAGGAGATGGAGAAGGGATTGCGGTGTGGCCGTCCCCCCGGGGGTGGTGTCTCGCTCTCTGTCTGTCTCTCTGTCCCTCTCTGGTGAGCACCAAGCTGTATGGCAGAAACCTCTAAAAATAAAATAAAATAAAGGGGGCTTTGGGCCACCCTGGCTCCTGGCTCCAGCGTTCTGGTCCCCTGCAGGAGGCCGTGTGGCCCTGCTCGTGGCCTGCTGTCCAGCTGAGATGGGGCTGGGTCCACCTCACCTTCTTCCGTGCCCTCGGGCCTGGCCCTTGGGGGTTCACAATACGTTTTGTCCCCTCTGTCCTGGGCCCAGCGCCCAGAGTCCAAGCTGGTCTAAGTTTGGAAGGGGAGGGAGGGAGGGCGGCAGCAGGTCAGAGGGGGTGAGGGGGGGTGTGGGGGACAGGATGTCTCTGTCTCAGCGCTGTCACACACCCCTGTCCCAGGGCTCAGAGAAAGGGAGGGACAAAGGACTCTGAGCGAGTCTGGAACAAAGAGAGGAGGAGACGCAGACCAGGAGCGAGCCCAGACACCCAGGGGAGCCGGCGAGGGCCGATGGGGGGCGGGGGGGGCACCCCGAGAGAGACTCAGCAGCCAGGCCGTGGGAAGGCGTGAGGACACGGGAGGGGCTGGGGACCAACAGAGACAGGACAGAGAGAGGAAGACCTACCCCAGAGACTCCGGAGACGGGGCGTGGGAGACACCCTCAGAGACAGAACAGAGAGACAGACAGGAAGAGGGAGAGACAGAGAGCGGGGGAGAGCGAGAGGGAGCAAGCACCAAGCACCGGGCAGGCAGCCGCAGAAGCCTTTCGAGAGGGGGTTCTGGGACGCAGACCAACTCGGCCCTTTCTGAGGAGCTCCCAGACCTCAGCTCTGCAGGGCAGGGGCCTGTGGGTTGAGAGGGGCTGGAGGGGGCTGGGTGTTCTTTGGGGAGCCCAGACGAGGGTGCCTGCCCAAGGGCCAAGCAACAGCAGGCAACCCTGAGATGGAGCTCAGGGACCCCGAGACCCCTGAGGATGGGGACCCAGAGGTGAGAGCCGGGGGACGAGGGAGGAAGGGGTGGGCAGGGGTGGCTCAGAGACGGAGGGAGAGGTGCGGAGGGGCAGGCCAGCCCTCAGAGACCCAGATGCAGGGAGAGGGGCCAGCCAGACCCAGGCCCCCATGGACAGGGACTCAGAAAGGGGCACCGCACAGGGGCAAGGACAATGGCGAGAGACCGGTGGGGGGCTTGGGGCGCTGCCCCACAGGGGAGCGGGCGGGGCCTCGGACATGGACCCCTAACCCTCCGGGACACAGACAGGTGGCCCCCGTGGTGAGTCACTGTGACTCATCCCCCTCTCTGGGGACAGGGCCCTCTCCTCACTTCCAGCCCAGGCAGCTTCCACCTCCTGCTGCAGTCAGAGGCCCGACTCACCCTACGCCCCTCTCCACAGGAGGACACGGCCGGGGCCCTCCAGCGGCTGGTGGGGCTGCCGGCCCCCAGGGTGGCCACGCTGAGGAGCCTGTGCTCCCAGTACCGCCTCATCCGGAAGCTGGGGTCGGGCTCCTACGGCAGGGGGCTGCTTGCCCAGCCTCGCCGAGGGGGTGAGTCAGCCTCCCTGGGCAGTGCCCACACTCCCCTTAGGGTTCTGGGAGCTGACGAGGGCCCTTCCCGATGGGCACCCCAGGAAGTTGAGCTCTAGATCTTCCTGCAGCCAGTGGTCGCCCAGAGAGGTAGGTGGCTCGCAAAGGCCCCACAGCAAGACCGAGCACGACTTAGGTCGGAACAAGTCATGCCACGTCCCTCGCTTTATTCAAGAGGAAACGAAAGCCCAGACAGGGCCGGGCACCTGTGCAAGGCCACACAGCAGTCCAGACAGAGCAGCAGGGCTCTGGGGCCGCATCCTCCTCCCATACTTCGCAGACAGACACACTTGCTTTGCCACAAGAGTCTGAGTCTCAGAGAAGTTCAGCAGCTTGCCTGAGGCCCCACAGCAAGGCCAGAGCCTCCCAAGCCCCAGGTGACCCCGTCTCCCTGGCAGGTCCGGCTGTGGCTCTGAAGCTCCTTCGGCGGGACTCCGTCCTGAGGACCACCTTCCTGAGAGAGTTCTGTGTGGGCCGCTGCGTCTCCTCACATCCAGGGCTGCTGCAGACTCTGGCGGGACCCCTGCAGACCCCCCGACATTTTGCCTTCGCCCAGGAGTTCGCGCCCTATGGGGACCTCAGCGGGATGCTCCAGGAACGGGTGAGGCGGGTGGGAGCAAAAGGCTGGGCTGCTTGTCCCAGACCCAGTCCTTCCCAAACTGTTTCTGTCTCTAGCCCTGGCCCCCAAATCAGTATCCAACCCAGCTCCTCCCCAGGCCCCCAAAGAACCCCCCCATTTCTGATCCCCAACCCCAATCCATCTGACCATCCACACGCAACCTGGACTGGCAGGCACGGGGCGGAGCATGGGCTGGGCTGGTGAGGCGGTGGGCGCTCAGTCGGCGTTGGGGTTGGGTGTGAGTGTGCACAGCATGGGGGTGGTTCAAGCTGTTCCCAGGTAGGCAGCAGCTGTGATGAGGAGCACGGATGGGGCAGCGAGGTGAGGAGGAGGGCAGAGGGTGTGTCCATGAATTGAGCTGAAGGCAGACTACAACAGAGCCTCTTCTAGAAAGGAGACCAGGCCAGGACTGACTCCATGAGATTCGAGGGCCTCTCGAGTTTGAAGGTCAGGAAGGGGTTATTTTGAGAAACAGACTTCGAATTTGAGATAAGGTTGGGGATGAATGGAAAGAGGGAAAGAAGGAAGAGTTGGAGGGAGGGAGGAGGAAGAGAAGGAAGTATAGATGGATGGATGGAAGAATGAATGGATGATGACGAATGGGTGATGGGTGGATGAGAGGATGGTGGATGGATGGATGATGTACAGAAGAGCAGGTGGATGGATGGACAGATAGATGAGGGGATGCATAGATGGATGGTGGGGGGATGGATGAACGATGGCTG